TATATATATAAAGTATTTTTCTATTTGATTGGCTTATTTTTTTCATGTTTGGTAAAATCTACTTTGAGGTGTATTTTTTTATTTCTTTTTAATAATTAAATTTGCGATGGCGGGCTAGTAAATTTGAAAAATTTACTAATGATTTGAACTTTATTAATCGGTCGTCTAACCCTAAGATTTCCTACATTAACCTGGTGCCCAGAGACCCGGACACTTCATGTCAAATCCCCAGAAATGGCTACTTTACTTCAGTTAGTGTGAGTTTTAAAATTTATAGTTCATTTGAAGAACAGGTTGTCATAAGAATATGAGTGTGTTTTCAGAATAATTTAGTTGCATTCTACAGTGTGGAGAAAAGGAATATTTAAAATATGACAAAAGGACAGTTCAAATTGATGGACACTTCTTTGGACATGTCATATTCATTTCCTCGGCATAAAAGCAGCTTGAAACCTGGAGCATAAAACCAAAAGCCCCAGTTTTTACATTTCCGCACTTTCTTCGAAGATAAAGTTACGAAATCGTGCGGCGGAAAAAGGCGAATTTTTGGAAGAGAATCTCCTATTGTCGGTTCCGATAGCGAAAAAGGAAATACATCCTGTTGCTGTATACAGTAAATTACTTCCTCTAACAAGTTGTGTAGCCAAAATCCATGTGTTGTGGGTCTTTGATACCGAAAAATCGTTTGACGGCAAAACGTTTTTTTTTCCGTCCGTCTGTAGTCAACGTTAGCGCCTAAACGGTTCAAACGGTTTTGTCAACCAAAATTGATATTCCTAGATCGAATTGAACAAACAAGGCTTTGAAAGTTCCAAATGTATATTTTAATTTTTTATGGTACTTTTCATTAATATTCAAAATTTTCTCAAAAATAGCACCAAATGAGTTGAAAAAACTGACCACTGGGAGCCTAATGGAGTTTTAAAAGATTTGTATAGGTTACGTCTTGATTAAAATCAAATCATTTTATCATCAAACAATCATTATATCATCATATGAATTATCGAATTTTTCGAAAATTACAAAAGTTCAATATTTGGGAGGCGTCGTCCTACAACTATAATATAGACGTTAGAGATCTTTTTCTGAATGAAATCTGTTCCTTAAAGACAGATCTTGAAATACAATAATGATCAGTTTTTCAGAATATGTGTTTTTTTTTGTTATTTTGCGCGTAATATAAGAAAGTTAAAAAAAGTTTGATCAAGATTTTTTTTTCTCAACAACACTCAATGTTTTACCTATAAATTTTCTCCACATATGTAAGAAGAGGCGGTAAAAACTATGGTGCTATTCGGCGATCCATATTCGGCGATCTCTCCATTTCTTTAAAAATTTCAAAGAGTCTACATTTGATAACTACAAAACTGACGATCAATATTTTTCCTCTAACAGATTTAAAAATCCAGCTCTGTTAAAATGGTCATGTACAATTTGTTTGCAAAAAATAGTACTTTTTCGCGTGATTCGTGATTTAAAAATGTATACATTATCTAAAAAGAATTATTTCTCAAAAACCGGTTCAAACTTTTTCTTTACATTTTCTCCTCATATGTAGAAAAACCATTTTTGGGAATATCTCTATTTTAGAATAGTTCATCAATCTAACATTGACAAAGTTATTGTTGATAGTACTCATGTGTAAAATGATGTCCTAAAACATTACATATTTGAATAAGATCATGTACATCATTTTTTGAAAAAAGATCATTTATTTTCGGTTAATTTTTTATTCAAGTTAATACAATTTGGAAAGGAAATTTAAAATAATGGCTTAAAACTTGTGCCTACATTTTAGAGGTAAAGCAAAGTACTCTTAAAAATGGCAAGGCATATTTGCGTTAACTCTGAATTTTCGAAAATTCCAAAATTTAGATTTACTAGAAGAAAATGGGAGCTGTTTCAGCACTAGTTTTCAAATGCCGAGAAAGTTGAGTTAAGCTGTGCGGCTGGTGATGTAGGTGTAACGTGACTTTCTTATTAACTGTCTTATTAAGGCCCTGAGTATGAATCTCGTCACGGAGGAAAAAAATGCTGGTTGGAAAAAATTCCAGTTCCATGTATTATAGAACATTACTACAAAAATAATACTTTAGAGTAATTCAAAATTAATTACTAGTGTACAGTGTGTATAATATATTAGACGACATAATTATCTGCTAATAAGAAAAGGAGTTGCTATTAAAATGTGAATTGTGCTTAAAAATTGAATTTAGCATTCCTCTTATAACTTCATTTATATTTTCCTACACACTGAATGCCTAATTTAATCTGGATGAATTACCACCAGCAAAAATTAATATTTTAACTTTGTACTGAAAACTTTTAATGTCACTAAATATATATTTCTAATAATATTGAGCATTGAATGCCCATCAAAACAGTTCGCCTGATTGGAGCACTGACCTTGCCTAAGGATTGGTGTTATTATCATGGGATTTTTGTATAGAAGGCAATGACAATCTAGTTTTCTTGTATTTAAGATTGTCAATAATATGAAAAATATCTTTGTTTGCCAACGTTTCGGAAAATATTACTTATTCTTCAGGTTACAAAAATAGAAACAACACAGTTTACTTACCAAAATATAACCATTAACATGAAACAATAATCTCTATAACAGATTACACAAACCATTTATTATGTAGACTGAACATTACAAGGATTTCTATATTGAAATTAGTTGAAAATAAGATAATTTTAAATAACCTTGCTAAATGTATCTCAATTCATCTCATATAAAACATAAGTGATGTTTTCCAGTGAGGCATTCTCCCCATTAACATACAGAGCATCAGCAGTTTACATCTTGAATGTAACTAATGAATTTTCCAAAAAAACATTACATTTAACAGGACTTTTGGGAATCATACGAGACAAGTATCCTATAATTATCTACAATAAACATGAATTGGAAAGAAAAACAACACAAAATTTATAATACCCATATTACAATTGATATTTGTGGGAAAATATCTCTCATAAAAATACTGTCTTGTAATTCTCAATCACAGTTATATTATGGACAATACAAGTCAAAACTACAAAAAAAATTAATTTATATTTCAAACAAAAACACATGTAGCCTGAGTGCAATCACTGAAATAAAACACAATGAGAAAAAGGTCATGAATAAATAGATATTTATATTCATCCACCCAGCATATGTCTACTATCACAATAAAACAAGATAATTTCTAAGTATACTAACTTACCTTTATTATTAACAATGATGTAAATAGAATCTGTGCAAGGTTGAAATACATTTGGGAAGAAGAAAAAAAAGTTTCACAACTCATAATTACCTATGTCGAGAATATAACTTTATATCTAAGGTAGTTGTGGAGAGTCAGAAGTTGAAAATAAATAGGCTACCAAGTGACAATTAAATTATAATTACACAAAAAAGAGTATTTTATATCATATTAGTAAATACTTTTGTAATTGTTTTCTTTAAATCCAACCAAAGAACCATGTTTTTTCATGTACTCTTTCTCAACCTAGAAAGGTTATAATCACATCATCAGATTTGATGAGACACACTTTCAACCAAAAACACTTAAAACAATTATATTCACCAAAAAATTGAATTTGTAACAAGAAAACTTGGCAGACTAAGTAGATGATATAATGTTAATAGAAAAGTATGCTGTAGGAAATGTTTGCTAGCCAGTGGGAGTAACAATATTTGTCAATCAATTGATTAAAATGATATTAAAATACATTTTGGTTTGTTATTATATTTTAAACCTCTATATTATAAGCCTGTTTGCTTTCAAATTAATGTTTGTCTACATTTATTGGTTTCATTTTGGAATGTTGTAAATGTTATTACTATATAAGACTATTTGAGTGTTATATTATTACTATGCTATGGTATATTTCTCTTTGTACACATGCATGCATGATTGTGTATAATATTTTATGACGTTCTATCTTGCAATGTATTCACGTGGAAATATCAGGTTTTTCACCTTTTTAATTTGGGTATTGTCAAAAACATTAGATATTTCAAATTCTGTATATGTGCATGAATTCTAATTATTGAGATACAGTAGTATATTTGGCTATACACGCTGAAAGCATGTATGTGGGCATGTGGCAGTATATGTAATTTGTTCGTACAGCTGGATGATAGAATAGAATGAATGTAATCATGGTGCCTCCGTATCTCGGTAAGCTAATTATCACCGCATTGCTCTATTACACACCCAACAACGCATTTCGATCTTATAGGTTTTCTCTTAGCGTCTAAGAAAATATTATTGCGCGAGGTATCTCTTTAATGCTATGTATAGAAGCAGTTACCCCCTCCTGAAAAATAAATTTCTCTCCTGCAAATCCATTTAACTTTCATCTTAGGTTCATCAATCAAATGGCTATTCCTGTACACCTCAAACCACGAAAAACGATTTCGGGAAGAGAGACGTATTGTTATTAATAATAGTTGCATCGTGATTGAAATCGAAGATTTGAAATTAAACGTTGTCTGCTTTGCTTACCTCTTGAATATTTCTGTTCATCTTTCACAGCAAATAGTAAATCCTGGTTTTTCACTAAGAAGAAAATCTAGTCTGTGAACTAGTCAACGTAACGACTTGCACCAGAATGCAAGTTGCATTGTTTCGATACAAGTCACCGCCCTCTGGATAAAAAGTGTTCCAGCGGGCACTGTACAAGTAAATAAAGTATCGATATATTTCGATCGATACCATTTACTCTTGGCATCCAAATGGTGGGAACTTCTTTGTCGATGTTTACTGAATATTCATTAATACACCCCGTTATCGAGTAAAACGGAATCAAAACGAAAAGTCTGAGAGCAATCCGTGATAGGTTTTTACCATGGAGTAGTCCAAGACCCCGTGATGATACGAACAGTTGTTTCTGACAAAATGGCGACTACCATAAGCCAAGCTTCGAAGCATGCTGGATACACGTGGTAATGTTTATATGGTTCTGGACTAGTGAGTACCTTACGATTGCGGTGATTTTTGAAGTGCGTTCTTTGATCCAAGTAGCCTATGAGAGTTAGTGACGATAATTAAGACGAACTATTATTTAATTAAAATAAACAATCGTACATCATTTCGTTTAGTAGTTTTAGTTCACAGACAAGCCTCTTAATTCACCAGACGTGTTGTGTCACGGGGTACGACAAAACATCAGTTACAACTACATTAAAATTTCTAAACGTTAAAATTTAAGAGAAAATCATTGAAATTAATTCACATAGATCATTTTAAAGTGAAAAAACCTCAGTAAGTATAGTAAGATATAGTATCAAACATTGTGTACTTGGTGGGAACGAGAAAAATATAATACGAGATCTAAATGTTCTAAAGTGAAGTACAAAATAGAAATGTCCGTCCATTTATAATTTCAGTGAAGGATGAATTAAGGTGCAAGATGATTCATTGTATGTCCCTTCAGTTTATGATTGCCACCTTGTGAAAGCCCATGGCCCGGAGATTTTAAAGGAAGAGGAACCAAACTTAAGTCATAATGAATGTTTTATGTTTATGTATAAGTACTGTAAATTATATTTGCTATGAAATAGTACAAACTTTTGTATTATTATACATTATATTAATAAATTATCATTTCAAAGAAACGATGCATATTGTCTATAGCTCTAGCCAGCTAAAAAGACTAGCTAACGTGACAAATTTTGAAAAATATCGCTAAAGGTACATGTTTTCATCCTCTATTTTGGGTAGTTGTGTTTGGTTTTGTACAGACAATTGCTTTTGCCAACCTTTACACTATTACACCGTGTACAGAGTGTACAGGCAGGAAACAACTAAACTTCAAAAATAAGCTCTTAAGGTGGTAAGAGCGAGATAAGTGTTATGTTTAACATGCCATTTTTATTGCATTAATCTAAAGATGACGGGTTCTTCTATGTTTTGGTGAAGTTTGATTCGATTTTACCGTTTAGTTTTTGCATAACGAGACCGATAAGATTGATGTTTTAACATAGGCTCATATGGGGACCAACAGATTTGACCTGAAATTTTAAAATTGTGAGAAAATTAACTGTTGAATATGTTTTCAAAAACTTCTTTCGGTAGCTAGCATATCCAAGAATCAACATGCGCAATTTGAAGGAAATCTACCGTTTCAAATGGAAGATTTTGCAAAATTATAAGCCTAAATCAGTCCAAAGGGAGACGTTCGCGCGCTTTCTAGAGTACTTTGTCGCGCATCTCGGCAACACCGCGCGCGCAACGCGCTTCATTCAAATCGAGTGACAAGACCTACAGTTCGTACATTCCTGTGGATCTTCTGGGAGCAATTAAAATATTCTCACTCCTCGAGAACATTGCGTTTGATAATAACCAGATACTCAGAAATGCTGGAATTTGAAGGATATAATGATTAGTGAGATTTAAATGAAAATCTTAATTCAATTAATATTCCTAATGACTAACTTCGATACTACTTCCTATGAGAAAATGGGTGACATTGAAAGTTTATAGTTTTTTTACACATTCAGTATAATATTGTTATTCTGTATTGTTCCGTATGTCTATTTTTTGCTCCTGAACAATGATTATTTATTCAATTATTCGGAAATTATTCATATTCTCTTTTTATTATGGAAATACACTGTGAATTTTCATTGTCTTTTGCACCACAAATGCTTACACAGAACTCAAAGCAACAATCTTTAGCATAGATCAGCACTTCAATCTGTAGAGCTACTGAGTGGAAATTCAATTCAAAAAGAAATAGACTTTGTAGTGGCTTCAAATGTGTTGCAATGATAAAATACTTTTTGCAGGTGTTAACATCAATTATTCAAGGTATAGGTGAATTCAAAACGGGATTTCCTCCTAGCAAAATTAGGATTGGGACTCTCATCACCGTGCCCGGATTTTTTAAAATAAATATTAAAACTTCATAAAATGTTTTTAACTGTGTTATCATTAATCAAATAGTTTACTAAAGATCAGTGTTTGATTTTTTTTAAATTGAATGAAACAATAAGTAACCAAATATGCATTTGCAAATTGAGAAATTTAAAAAGTAATTTTTACTTTGAAAACAATTTGTTAATTACATCTCTATTGGAACAATTATTTATTCTATCATAATCAGAGGTTTTTTAGATTTATTAATAATTACTTTTTAGTTTTAAAGATTTTTCTGAAGGAGTGCCCAGTATAGTTTTGTGTTCGAAGATCTACAGTATTTAAATTCGCCCAGGGGCAAATTTTAATTACATTTCATTGAAATTGTAAGAGGAATGATATATTCATCCCCTGGTAGATTTAGAATTTTAATAGAAACCTCTTTTCTCTTCAGCGCTATATTTTATCTAATTGTTTGCATTTCCTGAACAGTAGTAATACAGTAACAGCAGTAGTAATGGTTATCATGTCTTATTTTCAAAACATTTAAACCTTTTTTTCATTTTGAGTGCAATATCAAGACAAAGAATTTCAAAAGACTATGCCACTTGGAAATCTCTTTTGAATATTTTATCTTCAATAATTGGTATAATTTTATTATTGAAGATCTCAATAATACTGCTCTCAGAATTATCTGATGCAGTATTTTCATTTTATAAGCTTTAACTTGATGTGTACTTTAAACAATAATCTGCATCTAAAGCAAAATCATATCATGATATAAAATTATACTGAAAAGCAGCAAATAGTTTCTATGAATTATATAACCGCACCGGTGGAAATAATATGGCCCATTGCAATTGCAAATATAGTTTTAAAATTTCAATCAAAACCAATAAAACATGAAAAGTTCAACATGCAGTTTAATTAACTAAGAAAAAGTAAACTAGGGGAATAACAGATAAAAAACAAAAAATATATTTTGATAAGAAAGATAATAAGGAGCAGTAGGAGTCAATGATTACGATTTCTGTCAAGTTAAACATAAAGATTTATACAATATTGGAGAAAACTAAGCAGTTAACCTTGTTATTAAGCAATGGTATAATCTAAGGTTTGTCCTACCATTGGCTCAGGTAATTCAATAAATAAAAATTACAGAGAAACAAACATTGATAAATATTTGAAAACTTTTTATTACCTAACTGTTCTCGTGATATTGAAGGAATTGTTTCGTTATCTCTCAAATTCCACCTTGGAAATAAACCTTCCGCCAAATCGCTCAGATTTTGATATTTATCGCGTGTCGCAATCTCAAGGACATTACGGCGTTGCCCAATTTACTAAGACATTTCGCCCCACTCAAACATGGACATTTTTGCCATTATTAGCTATCATTGTACAAAAATATACAGATATATGTCCATAATGTTACTTTTTATAATGCTCGTACTTTCTCGTATTTGCTCGTACTAATTGTGTAATAGTGCTTTATTACTTTCAAACTTATGCTTCAATTTTTCATTCTGTGGCCACGCGATGTTGGTAATAGTTAAAAAACTAGTCAACAGTAGCTCTTTATGTGGTAATAAAATACTTTTATTTTGCATCTATTAAACTAAATTAATTCTAAGAATTAAATAAAACTCAGCGTAAATGTCTCTATTTGGTTTATGTAAGTCTCACAATACCCAATTATCTCGCAAATAATTATTTTTGAACCTAATATGGACTCTCTATGTACTAGGGAATATCTCACTCTAACCACCTGAAGACCATTTTAAGCATATTTTGTCTAATAAACGCCTGGCTGAATGGCTGTCGTAATAAGTACTCAAAAGTTGGTTAGAAAAAACACTTCAATGCAAAAATTTGCATTTGAGAAATATAAACACTCCAGGATCATGTAATTTCTTTTATTATTTACAAACGAAAGTAATATATTTGTTCGCAAACAAAAAAACACAAATAAAAAAGCAATCGAATTGTGTAAAATGGATGCCTTTGTCTGGGTTGCTTGTTTCTGTTTCGCTTCTTCGCCGAATGCAAGCGAGCAAGTGCGGCCACGTGCGTCTGTAAGAGGCTTACGTCCTCCAGATACGAAAAATTACTTATCACTGTAATACACAGACAAAAAGAACATACGTAAATACAGAGGTGGGGAGCTACAACACCCCAATTAAAAAAGTGATTATTTAAATGATAAGTCCTAGAAAAAAGATCAGGAAATATAATTACATTATCGGTTTTATTTGTACTCTCATTTTCAACTCTAAACTAATACAGAAAATTGAAAGGTTTACTCAAAAGATGAAAGGCACACGTCTTCCTTATGTTCGGTTTAAATAAATATTTTACATTTGCCAAAAATTTTGTTTTTATAATCTTTGCTCTTGGACATACACCGCACCTAGCTTATTTTGGCAATCCTTTTCTTAGATCTCTATTAATTTCAGACGAAATTTCAATTCCACATTTCACACATTCTAACACACAGATTGATAGCTACCATATACCAAACAATTAAAAACACAAAGTAGTAAAAGGACATTACATTACATGCATAGGCGCAAAAAGAACCTACACAAATCAGAATACACGGAGTGTCACGAAAAAATCTTAACTCCTTGCCTGCGACTCTACGGATTACCAAGAAATGTGAAAAACTACGTTACATCAGTCGCAACATTCGCATAAAATGTATGTATTTTGTTGATTAACTCTACTTTTTTATTAAAGTTCCATTTATTATGTTTAAATTTTAGAGAATGGCTGAATGCAATTGGAAATCATGGTTGTCTAAAAGGCATGTGGGTGAATTCAATGAAAAAATACACGCTTCTAACGAATTTTAGATATTTGAAGAGAGAGTTACAGTTAAAACAATTAACTTTAGTATTCATTATACATTATTAGATGCTGCCAAAGTCAATAAATGTATTTCAATAGTAAATCTACGTAGTACGTAAATCTCAATTCTTTCGGAAACTTTCAGGGGGCTGACTGTTGACGAGACTCACCGAAAATAAGGTTTAATTTTGTGTATTAATAATTTTTGTTTATTTATTTAGATCATTACAAATATACAACTTGTTAATGCTAAACAATCAATAAAAAGTTTTTTAAGTAATTTAAGTGTTTCCTTCTGTGAAATACAATTCTATA